CCCCAAAACCCCAAAACCCCAAAACCCCAAAACCCCAAAACCCCAACTATTCTTTCCTTACCTAATATATATTTTATTTTATACTATGGGAAGTTCAGAGAGTAAGTACTAGTAGTACAATTATTTAGGTATAACTTATTCAGAACCAATCTTTCCTCTTGAGGAATCTAAGGGTGAGACTCCTCCGTACAGATTTCCAGGAATAACAGCTGATGACAAGATGGTAGACTCTATGCCGAATGGGGATAAAGATCTCAATAGTGTCATCGAGCACTCCCTTACGCAATTTGCAAGCAACCCTTGCCTTGGTACCAGAGAGATGCAAATGGAAGAGACTACTGATGAAGAAGGCAACGTCAAGCGTAAGTTTGTACATAGTCAGAGCTAACTTTTGTTATAGAAGTTCCAAAGTACGGCAAGTATAAGTGGAAAACTTACGAAGAAGTCTACACAATGGCTAAATACCTTGCCAGATCATTTGTTAACCATGACTTATGCCCCGAGGTCAACGGAGGAGGAGAGAAAATGAGAATGATTGGTCTTTACTCAAAGAATAGAGAGGAATGGTGAATCACTGATATCGCATGTGTTATTAGTAGTGTTGTAACAATCCCCTTATATGATACACTTGGGGATAATTCTGTTAGTTTTATTGTCAATCAGACAGAGATGACTACTATCGTTATGGGAAAGGATAAAATAGATCACATTATCAAACTCAAAACAAGTGGAAAGATAGACTCTGTTCAAAACATTGTGCTCATGGATCCTACTAGTGAGAATGAAAAAGAGAAGCTTAGACAGGCAGATCTTAAAGTGCTTGACTATACTTTCCTTCTTGAAGATGGAGAGAAGAATAGAGTAAAGCTTGCAAAGCCAACCCATAAAACTATTTTCACTATCTGATACACTTCTGGAACAACTGGAGACCCAAAAGGAGTTATCTCTAATCATCATAACTATGCTGCTGTTATGGGAGGTCTTCTTAAAACTGGTTTTGATATCAAAGAGAATGATACACATTATAGTTATCTCCCATTAGCACATGTCTTCGAAAGGGCTGCTCATTGGGGACTTTTGTCCCAAGGAGGAAAGATTGGGTATTATGTTGGAGATGTCACTAAAATTAAAGAAGATTGAGGGGTCTTAAAACCAACTATATTCTGCTCAGTGCCAAGACTACTAAACAGATTCTACGACCTCATGCAAGACGGAATCAATAAGCTCACTGGATTCAAGAGAAAGCTTCTCAATAGAGGGGTAAAAATCAAGATGAACAATTTAATGAAAAACGGGTCTGTTAAAGATTCTATTTATGATGCACTTGTTTTCAACAAATTCAAGAAAATTCTTGGTAGTAAAGTTAGAATCATCATAACAGGTTCTGCTCCTATCGGAGGGGAGGTTCTCAGCTTCCTCAAAATTGCTTTTAGTTGTAGAGTGTTTGAAGCTTATGGACAGACCGAGACAACTGCAGGATTAACTATTACAAATTACAAAGATGGCACATCTGGCCACGTGGGAGGAGTTTTCCCGCACAATGAAATCAAACTTGTTGATGTTCCAGAAATGGACTATACAAGTCAAGACATTATTGAAGGAGAAAAACAACCAAGAGGAGAGATATGATGTAGAGGCTTCAATACATTTATTGGATACTTTAAAGCTCCAGATAAAACTGCAGAGACTAAAGATGAAGATGGATGGGTCCATACAGGAGATATAGGACAGATTCTACCAAATGGAGCATTGAGAATCATCGATAGAAAGAAGAACATTTTTAAACTGGCCCAGGGAGAGTATATTGCAGCTGAAAAGTTAGAGATCGCATTCTCAAAACTAGAAATAGTTCAACAAATCTTTATTTATGGGGACTCTTTGCAATCTTATCTGGTTGCTGTTATTGTTCCAGAAAAATCTGCTGTTGAAAAGTGGGCTGCTGAAACAGGTAAAGACATCAAAGGATTCTCTGATGAAGAATATCAGCAATTTATCAATGGAGAAGAATTCAAGAATTACTTCGACACGTTAATCAAAGAGACCAGGAAAAATGAAAAGTTGAGCGGGTTGGAGGTCCCTAAAGCAATATTTTGTACTTCAGAAGAGTTCTCAGTGGAAAACGACTTGCTAACTCCAACATTCAAGCTCAAGAGGAATGAAGCTAAGAAGAAGTACCTTAATGAGATCAAGGCAATGTATAAGGGAGAGAAGCTACAGGGAGAATAATCCATATTTTTACAAACCTTTGAAATACCCAAAGATTACTATATTAAATATTTCTTGAGGGGTTTTGGGGTTTTGGGGTTTTGGGGTTTTGGGG